TTCCCGAGCCTCCGCCGCGTTCGGGACCCGGGAGGCACTGCTCGCGGCCGCCCCAAGGATCTGGCCTGAGTCCGGGCATTTCTCAGATCTCGGAATCTGAGGCTTGGGTCGTTGTTGATGATGGTGAGGTTCCCGCCCACCCCACACACACACCTGAACCTACGGTCACCTACTTAAACTCTCGCTGTAATTATATGTAATCGGTGAATAAAAGACATGGAAAAGGCTAGTGCAGTGAAACGCAAGGCGCGGGAAGTGCGGAGGCCTGGTCCCCTCCCCCCCCACCCCCACCCCCACCCCGTGGGCCCGCGCTGTGCCTCTGTCCACGTGGGAATACTGACCCGCGCGGCTTCAGTTTTTTATCCGGGGCGGGCTTGTCCGGATAGGTGGGGACCAACGCCTCCAGGTGCAAACGCCTGGGAGCTACTTCTGCATTTGTGCTCTGCGTGGCCAGTTCACTGCTTCTACTCCACTGGCTCTCCACCTTGGCTGCACTTTAGAATCTTGGTTATGGGGTGGGGCCACAGCATTAGTAACAACGAAACAGGATTTCCGGAGGATGAGGCCCAGAAATCAGGATTTTCAAAAGATTCCCAGGTGAGTCTAATGTGCAGCCAAGGTTGAGAACCACAGCTCTACTTAAAAGTTGTGGACGAGCTTGAGATGTGTGCTAAAGCCTGCGCCCCCTGCGCAGCCCCCGCCACTGTCCACACACCCCTCGTGGTATTCCTCTGCTAACGTGTGCCGACTATGAAATTGTGTTTATGTTATCACAATTGTTTAAAAGATCAGAAAACCGTGGCACGGGTCAAAGGGAAAAGCCTCCCGTGATATTTCTGAAATCCTCCGCCCCAGGGATCTAAACCTGATTTCTCCTACCCCTACCGCATTCTTCTATGCCCACGTGGAGCTCCTAAGTCTGATGGGAGCATCGGTTCCAGCACGGAACCTGACAGAGGGCCCCTCCCGCTTTAGGGTGCGGGGTGGGGCGGGGGTGGGGGAGCGGCTGGAGGAGACCGCCGGCGCTCCATAAATAATAGCGACTCTAACGGTCACGGTTCTGATCGCACATCCCAGATCTGAGCCACTAATCCAAACAAAAGCTTGTTAACTATATTAATTTAGCCGAACGGAGGAAGAGTGATGAGAATAAACAGTTGGTCCTGTCTCATTTCTCACCACCGCAGACACATCCTTCTTCCTCTCCAGGGTCCAGCGGGTAGGTTCCATAATTAAATTATGCACCACGTTTGGTGGATGCCGGGAACACGAAGGGGGAAAATACTTCATCGTTAACTGTAGATTTTTTTTTTCCCTTGATAAGACTCAGGCTTGAAAGTGCTACAAAGATTAAGATGATGATTTTTAATGTCACGTTAACTTTATGTAGCTGTCTTGTTGTCACGGAAATGTATGATATGCCCAGCACCCGTCTCCCCTCCGCCACCCCCACATCCATTGCTTGGTCTTCGTCACAGTCATGAGTGTCTGCGTCTTCCTAGATCATTTCTCTTCTTCCCAACCTCCAGCCTCTACATCACCCGTTGCCGCTGGTACTTCAACCACAACACCATTAAGCTTTCTTCCTTCGCCTGCTCTGTAAGGACTGCCATACATAATTTAGTTACTTCTCATCATTCTCCATTTTGGCCAACTCACTCCCTCCCCTCTGCAATAAATTCAAGGTCCTGCTTGCTGCAGATACGTTGCCCAGAATGTGCTTGCATTTCGCGGAGAGCTTCCCATCTTCTGAGATGACATCATTCTTCTACAGGAAACCCTCCTGATTCATCCTTCCACCACATGAGGTTTCAGTTATTCTGCACCCACAGCAAACCCAGGTCGCCAAGGAGGGGGAAAATGCATTTCTTGGTTTATCTTGCTCGTTAACACCTTGTAAGTCCAAGTGTGACTGTAGGTGTTAAATCTCTCCTGTTAGTACCTTGTGTTTGGGTTTGTCATTGATGATCTTTCTCTGAGGGCAGACACGGGCTCCTTGAGTTTTCAGCCATCTCAGAGCAGGGAGGGGCTTCAATAGGCGTGAACACAGTCGGACATTTGTAAGGACCATTGCCTCCACGTTGGCGTGGCTCTTTTTACAGGCCTGCAGGTTGTCTAGTCTGATATATTTCAGTGCCTTGAAGGTGGGGGATCCAGATTAAAAAGAGATTCTTCTGGGGCTGCCTCCGATGGGGCTTTGATGGCATTCATGGACGTCTACCAAGATGCCGCTTACCACTTCTCTTCTGCTCGCACAGGAGAGGATGTGACTGGCGACCGGGGAAGGAGGCAGGGAGCCTGGAAAGTTGCCTGTCCATCGAGTTAGTCATCATAGAAAGGGCACAGGCCTTGGGCTCTACCCGGACTTGGAACTCTACTTCCACTTCTTACCAACCTAGTGACCTTCAGAAGGTACTTGGGTTCTTGTATCCTTTGTTTTCTTATCTGTAAGTCAACAACATTCATTCGTTCCATCATTTTTAATTAATTCTCTATGAGCTAGGTGCTGTGAATACCAGCAATGAAGGAAATAAATCAGTTCTTGCCCTCCCAGGGCATATGCCCCGCCTCTCTCACTCCCCCTCTCTGATAAATGCTGAATAAATGAACTCACTGCTGGCTCAGGGAACACAATAGGGTACATCGCCTCTGGGAAGAGTCTTGTTCCCAATCCAGTGGGTGTCAGGACCAAAAATTTCTTTTCCTAGTTCTCAGAGGCCAAGCACCACTCTGCCCACTTTTCAAAGGAATAGTTGTTTATCTTCCCATGCAGCGGTCCAAAAGAAAGAGACCTGTTTAACTGCAACAGGGTGACTGGAAAATCTGCTAAGCCAGAGAAGAAGTCAATGATAATGCTAGAAAAAAAATTAAGAAAATGATCTTGTCAATGCATTTTTACATCTGTTAAAGCATGAGGTCAGTTGATGTTCAATAAAAGACATGAAGACTACACATTGATATGCCAGGATATTCCCACCGAGAATTCAAGATTCCTAAATAGGATTTGTGTTGGGAGTCAAGGGCCCCAGTTATCCTTACGATTACACTTCTTCAAACCATAATGAGGATCCATGAGGAAATGTTCGCTTGTCATTTGCATACAGCTGGGTGCTTGGCTATTATATGTCAATAAGTATTTGCTAATGAAATAAAGGAATTAATAGACAATAACTGCTTGACATCAATGCATATCTGTAAACTGTAGCTATGCCTCCCTATCCGCTTCCTTTTTCTCCTTGCGTTTAATGGATCTGGAAAGACATTTCATAGGTGAGACACTGGGGTTGGTGGGTCAGCACCAAGGGCAAGCAAAGCTGTGTTCAAGACACGTGGCATCGCAGTCTCAGGACTTGTCTTGCCTGCAAATACGCAGCTCTGGGCCCAG